GAGAGAGAGTAGAGAGAGAGAGAGAGAGAGAGAGAGAGAGAGAGAGAGAGAGAGAGAGAGAGAGAGAGAACCTGCACAACTGCCTGCTGAGACAAGAACGAATTAGGCAGAGATGATTGTTGTTGGAGAGCTGGATTCTGCATAGACAATTGAACATGTCCAATAGGCCTTGGGAGTTGTGGGAGAGGAGGCTGTATTTGCTGTTGCAATGGTTTCGAGCTCACCACAGGAGGAGCTTGTGATTTGACAGGCACTCCAGAGAGAGAGTGGGCCCGCATAGGCAGAACAGTGGAAAGCCCAGAGTGTGGAGGAAATGAAACCTGGCCATGAGTTTGTGGTAATAAAGGAAATCTTGGTGGCATAGGTACATGTTGAAGTGGCACCGAAGAGGGCTGAGCAATAAAGGAATTTTGAGGCATGGTTAAGTGTGGTTGTCCTTCAGGTATTCTTGGCAACAACCCAGCCTGCACCTTAGTTTGCGCAGGAGGCACTTGGTTTTGATGAGTGGCGGGGTGCATTGACTGCTGCTCTTGTTTTACTTCGTGCAATGGTGGCTGCAAAAGTGAATTTGATGACTGCCTTGTGTTTGCCATTTGTTGCAACTGTAGAGTAGGGACAGGTTCTTTGGTGAGAAAATAGATAGCTTCAACTCCCATAATTGACAAAAAAATTGTGAAGAGTGAAGACGTACCATTTGAGGTGAGGCCATATTAAGCATTATCTGTGCCTGCAAAGACAACAGAAGAGTTCCATTTTCAGAATTGCACTATAAAAGGAAGAAGTAATAACTTATAAGTAAAATGTGTCCGACACATGTTGGAAAATAACTACTCCATCCCTTACAAGTAGGGGTGAGAATTTTCCGGATCGGGTCCGGATCCACCAGATCCGGTTATGAATAGTATACTTTGGATCCAGATAGGAGCAGATCCTAAATATTCGGATCCGGATCTGGATCCAATATTTTATATAAGATCCAGATCTGGATCCAGATCCGGATTCGGATTTATTTCAAAATATAGCCAAAATTAAAGCTAAATAGAAACCAGTTTGGGGATCTTCAACGGGGGAAAATTATCAGGAATAAACCTCCCTCCACCAAATAGCAGCTTCTTGCAGAGACTACATAGGTATATTGCACTTCAAATGTCCCATGAAATGCGTACTAAAATTCTAATTCACTCTCTAAAAGAAAGCCAAGGTATTGAAAGATTCACATGAAACGAAAGAAGAAAGAAAATACCACAAAACCAGAAACAGGAGGGTTACATATCAGAAAATTGCATAATGTATGGGGAAAAAAGAAAAAGAGAGAACAAACAAAATCCTCTGATCAACAAGTAAATCGAAAGAATTATCACCATAAATCCTTACCACTTTCTTCAGAAAACTTGATTAGAAGAAGAAATCAACACTTATACAGAAAATCACATAAGTAAACTAACGTGATTTCTAGAACCACCTGCCTGATAAAAGGGCACCAAAAATCCGTTCTATCTTCCTAAAAGACATCCTAAAACGGGCCATCGGTCAAACAAACCCTAAACATTTCCTTTCAGGCAATAAACAAGCACAAAAACCCTCAGAATCAGGCCTCAAAGCCTAGGAATTTTCCTTGAAACCAGAAGAAACCCTAAAAACTTCTCTTTCACAAATAAAACAATCGAAATAAGATACAGAAGAAAAGTCTTTTGTTTAGAGAGAGAGAAGAATCGAAATCCGGGTTTCAGATCCAGATCGGGTCAATTCTCAGCCCTACCTACAAGTAGAAAAATAAAGTAGAAGAGGAAAACTGGGAAGCAAAATTTGTCTAAGTGTGCTGGCACAAGTGAAAAAACAAATGAACACATGCACGCATGCTGCCTCTCTCTCTCTCTCAGTGAAAATACCACAACAGTTCAGCATCTACTTCAATATATGCCTAGTTTGGTGGACAAATTATCTGTCTACAGTCTCTGACTCCCACCTCCCTCTATGTATGTAAAAGGTGAATGGAGATCACCATCAATCAAGAAATTTTATCTTCTGGGAATAAGAGTTCATAAGAAGAACGACACATCCAAATTCTAAGTATCATACTTTATGCTAATGAAAAATGTGCTCATGTGAATACACGCCACAGATAGAAAACAAAGAACAATTATCCATTGAAAGAGAAAACTTCAATCTGAGATGAGACTAACCTGGAAAACGGCCTTGGAGAACTGAGGACCAGTCGTCATCATCTGCTTAGCCAGTGCCTGATTTTGTTGAGCTATTGCCTAAAATAGAACCAGTAGAATTTCAGATCACATAAAAGCCTGTTCAAACAGTTTGAAAAGCCAACAAGATGGCATATAGGGAATCTCCATACCTTCATTTCAGAAAGAATTTCATATAGTTGGCTTTTGGACCTGCTAGCTAAATATAGAGTCAAAGGATCAGTTCTTGGCTGCCCCTGGAAACCATTTTGGTTTGCACCCATACCACTAGTTTGCACGTCACCAAGAGCAGCAGCCATGACAGATGCTGCAGTAACCGCTGATGGGATACCCATTGGCTGATTATCAGCCAAATCTGCAACCATTGGTCCACCTAATGGTTTTGATGCATCTGTCAGAATCTCAATATGTAAAGAATAAAAAAAGTAAACAAGAAGAATTGCTCACTATGCAGTCGAATATAAGCATCAAAGACATTGGTGATAAAGAAAAGACTGACCAACATTTGGTGCCAGCCCGGGGCCCCCACGACCCTGCAAAATAGAGTTTAGTACAGTACATGATGCAAGATATTCATTATGCATAAAATCAAAGTAACAACATGATGTTCTGTTTAATTTGTTTTGATATGTAACATGCACTTGTAAAATGAGGTAAACAACAATTGGAGAGTACATACGGATGGAGATGTGCATCATAATGGAACTATTTGAGATTGAATATATTTACATCCTGCATTTTGCACCAATGCCTGAATATGTGTCAGTTATCTTCACGATTGTTGGGACATAAGTTATATTCAATCCAATGGGAAAGCCTGAATATGTGTCAGTTATTTTCATGATTGTTTGGGACATAAGTTATATTCCTCCTGAAATTTCAATATCCAGGTATACTTAACTTTCTACTGAAGCCTTTTT